TTTGAGTGCATGTGCTAAAATAAGCCCTCTCCCAAAATATTGCAACACAGCAGCAGCCATGAGGTGACCACCCTTGCCACCTCCTGCACAGAGGTGAATTTCCGCCAGTTCTGGCCAGATTGGGCGAACTGGTAGTGTGGCGGTGGGAGACTCCACCCGCCCACCTGGACGCTTCTGCACATGCACAGAAGCATTCATGCACGCACAAGCAAACCGATAGTAAATAATTGGAAACCCACCACTGCTCCTGCACCTCAAAAATAATAAGACCTCCCCAAAAATAAGGCCAAGTGCTTATTTTGGGGGGGGGTGTTTGGGGAAACATGGTAGAAGTTCATACATTTGATATACACAAATATGCAGCTTCAGATCATTTTCCTCAATAGATGAATAAGACTAATACTTTAAAACTTGTTTTAATTGGGTTTTATCTAATTTTAGAATGTGTGGAGAAAAGACCTCATTTTAAGTAATATTCATGCACAAATACTGAAAATTTGAATGGGTTCAGAAACTGTTAAGCACCATCCGTACATACTGCAATGCTGGAAATCAGAACTCCTTGAATCCATTTATTAGCATTTATTATTTATGGTTCGTATGGTTCTTATGGTTCCTTCACCCCAAAATAAGCTTTGCTGCATTTCATATCATGCCCAGTACAGGTGTGTGTGTGTGTGCGTGCGTGCGTGTGTGTGTGATGAAAATATATAATAGTCAACCCTAGATATATTGCAGAGCAGAGAACATTTCAGATAGGAACAGATGAAAAAAAGAAAAAGAAGTTGCTTAATATTTTTGGAATTTCATTCCAGATCTCAGAACCGTAGCTTTTTCATTTGGCCAAGTGAATAGCTAATTAATGTAAGCACTTTAATTCATGTATTGCTTACTTCTCAAAGGCAACTGGACTTTGTTTTTTCTTGAAGTTGTTTTGCTTCTCATCCAAGAAGCTTCTTCAGTTTGGGACAACCACAACCTGGATGGCTGAGAATCTCCATAGATCTTTTGTTTACTTCTCTGTTGTCCTGCCAGATGTGTGTTGCAGGGTCTGCATGATGCAGAAAAAACATCACACTCTGATGTTGCAGTTAAAAATGAAGTTGATTGAGAATTCCTAGATATTAGCAAGTCCTAGCCAACTTTGGCTGATACTGAAAAAGCTAAGCAGAGTTGGTCCTGGTTAGTACACAAATGGGAGAGTACCACAAAATATCAGGACTGTAGCCAAGAAAGTTTTACATCCTAGGAGTCAATGACAAATCATTTCCATATCAGTTCATATTATACCCATGTACTACCAAAACATGACATTTTATCACCAGGATTAAAACTTGACTCAAAGACTTTCATTTAATCTTTTACCTTTTCATCTTTATCTTTATTTCTATAATTTCAGGACAAACTAGCTGGTGAAATGGGAGAAATCCCTCCAAGTAAGGTAAAATTATAAGCAATAATTTGCAAACGGTTTTTCCTTATTTTACAATATGCATTATTTTTAATGTTGGCTAATTGTTTCAATCTCCTCAATATTTTATGAGAGATTGTTGTTTTTGATCTTACTGGCAATAAATATCTTATTCCATCCAATTGTAATATGATCACCTAAAGCCAAAATACAGGATTACTGTAACTGTTTAGCTTTATGTGCATTTGACAAGCTGAAAGAAATTCTACTCCCTCGTTCTCTTTTTCTTATTTTTAATAACATTGACTTTTAAATCATAAGATGGATTATTTGTTTTCACCTCCTTAACAGGAGACAGAATAGTGGATTTTTGTCAAAAAAAATTTTTTGAAAATGGCAACAAGTCAAACAAATCAAACCTTACTTATTGCTAAAGAAACAAGAGATTATCCTGGATAATCAATTAGATTCAAGTGTCAAGACTTCTTTTCTCATGGAAAAATTTCATCCTGATCTATTAAAAAATGATTAAAGCAGTTTCTCAGCCTTGGCAATTTTAAAATATGGGGATCATATAGTTGGGGGAATTCTGGGAGTTGAAGTTGAAACTGCTGAGAAAATTCTGGAGTAAAGTTGTATTGGCTGGGGAATTCTGGGAGTTGAAGTCCACAAGTCTTAAAATTGCCAAGGCACAGGGACTAAAACATACATATCTATTTCCTTACTGAATGCAAACTATAAACTTTTATGGCATTACTAAGAAAATAAATAAATGGACTTTACTGAATACATTATACAGATTGAAAACTGGATTTATTACAAAAACATACATGAGAGACACCACATATAATTAGAATATTATAGATAGTACTGGCTCACAGGGCCGGTGTGGAAACAGCAAAGGACTAGCTTGTGGTGCCTCTGCCAGCAAAAAGGGAGCTTGGGGGGGGGGGGAAACGGGACGTCCCATTTTTGCTGGCAGAAGGCTGCAGGAGTTCATCATTGCCAAAAACAGGGTGTGGCCTTCCTGAGCCCCATTTTCACTGTCAGAGGGCTAGCAAAACAAACTAAATAAAACAAAAGGAGAAATGCAAGAAGGGACAGGAAAAAAAGGAAATGGAAAGAGGAAAGACAAAGAAAAAGAAGGAAGATAGGAAGAGAGCAAGCAAGGAAAATAAGGAAGGAAGGAAAGGAAGAAGAAAGGAGAATGAAGAGGGAAGGAAATAGAAAAGGAAGGAAGATTATGAGAGTGAGGGAGGGTCTCAGGGAAGTCCTGCCTTAGCACTTGGCCACCACAGGTGCCCCCGACATGAGTCCCATGTCACACCCACCATGCCCCCCCCAAGGTCAAACACGACCCTGATGCAGCCCTCAATGAAATTGAGTTTGACACCCTTGTTATAGATAAATCAGAAAAGTAAGAAGGTGACTATGACTTCTCAATACAGAGAAAACTCTTGCAAGGATTTTTTTGAAGATGAATTTTAGAATTTTAAATAAGCAATAGTTTTAAAATTATTTCCAAAAACAATATGGAACTAAGGACATTTGATTGAATATGAAAATCTAACTTAGGTTTTCAGAGATTTGTTGGGTCTTACTTACGAACTATCAGTGAAATATGAGTCAGAACAATAAACGAATTAAAGACTATATGATTAAATGGATGCAGAATTAAGATACAATAAATTTGCAATAATACAAATGTTATTAGCGGAGAGACATTAACACCAAATATTAAAGAATACTGCTACATTTTACATGAGTTTATTACTCCAGTATTAGCTGCTAAAACAGACAATTCAGTTTCTAAAAGTTGGAAATGTAACAACCAAATTCGTTTGTTTTTCCATATTTGGTTGCAATTTAATAAAGTCTAACAATTTTGGGAAAATTACAACAGAATGAAAAAATTAAAAGCTAATTTTTCTCTTAAACTTGTTATTTTTTAAAAAAGTAAACAATTACTAAATCTTATATTCCCACAAATTATTCTTAATTAGTTTTGCATATAAGTAACTATTATAAGAATATTTTATGAGTCTTAATGCAAAATACGTACACTACCGTTTGCAGAAGAATGTTAATTAAATTGTGGGAGGCTGCTTGTGCTTTTAAGATACGTAACATTCTATCTTAAAAGTAAATTTGATACTCAATTCAATTCGGAAATCATTTTTGAACTGTACTTCGACAGAGGCTTATACCATACACAAATTTGGTTTTCTCTTTAACCTAAAGTCTTAACATTTTAACCTTCAAGCAGAAACTGCTTAGGCTGACATTATTATGATTCCTAATTCATTCTATGATCTATATTCTGCTGATTGCCATTGATATTTATACATTACTTGGATTTTAACAATGATGTGGGGTTTTTAAAATATTATATTCAATTATTTAAAACTAATAACTCTGAAAAATATAACCAAGTCATATAACACTTATACATGCCCTTTATTCTTGTTTTTCTTTTCTACTTTTCTTTCATTTCCCTTTTTTCAGCAATGTGCTGTGTTTGTGTGTGTGTGTGTGTGTATTATAATATAATATTTTTTTAAAAATACTGACTACATGCCTCAGAGTTACCAAGACCAGGAGTGATGCTAGAGTTCACTATATTTTCTGTCTTATCATTATCATGCCATGCCATATATAGGTAAATTACTCAGATTCTGAGAAAGTCCCATCTCTCTTACAAGCTGATCTCAAGAGTAAGGAATTAGGAGAAGATACTTCTTTCCTCCATAAAGGTAAAGTACTTTACAACCTATAACCAGAAACTGCACCAAGGTAAGTGGAAAACAAGGCCGTGAATATTCAGGCTCTTCCTGCTAGCTGTCAATAGGTGGCCCATCTCCAACCATCCAACCAAGTTGTCTGAACCTAGGATATTTGCAAAATATCAGGAACCAACGCATCCTGTTCATATACCTTAAATGGTTAGCCAATCCCCCAGTAAAATAAGAGAGGTGAAGAGAGATCAAAGGCATTTGATCTCTCAAATGAGCTGAGCCGAGGTGGCACAGTGGTTAAATGCAGCACTGCAGGCTACTTCAGCTGACTGCAGTTCTGCAGTTCGGCTGTTCAAATCTCACCGGCTCAGGGTTGGCTCAGCCTTCCATCCTTCTGAGGTGGGTAAAATGAGGACCCGGATTGTTGTTGGGGGCAATATGCTGACTCTGTAAACCGCTTAGAGAGGGCTGAAAGCCCTATGAAGCGGTATATAAGTTTAACTGCTATTGCTATTGCATTAAAAAAGACCCACCTCAGCACACACCCTGATACAAATAATGCATCAGGGTGTGTGCCGCATTTGAGTCCAAAATTTCTCTTGCTAGGTGAAACATTTGTTAAGTGAGTTTTCTCCCATTTTATGACCTTTCTGGCCACAGTTGTTAAGTGAATCACTGCAGTTCATAAGTTGGAACAAGTTGTTAAGTGAATCTGGCTTCACTTGAAGGGATCATGAGGGAATCCGCATGAACCCGGGACACTGCAACCATCATAAATATGAGTCAGTTGCCAAGCATCTGAATTTTGATCACGTGAGGGATGGGGATGGTGCAACGCAACAGTTGTTAAGCGTGAAAAATGGTCATAAGTCCATTTTTCAGTGCAGTTGTAATTTTGAATGGTCACTAAATGAACTGTTGTTAAGTCAAAAACTACTTGTAAAAGGCAGGGCCAAAGTATATACATATCCTGTTCACAAGAATCTGCATTGTAATCTTTTCCCTTGCAATAAATCTAATTAACAAACCTTTAAAAGAATCTCTCTCTTAGGACATTTGGTTATTCTCTACTTCTATCTTTTTTTAAAACAATCATCTTTTAAAACAAAACTTCCAGAGAGAACACGAGGATATATCTGGAGATATAAGGTTATTTACAGAGAGGAAAATGCTGGTACACAATTGGGAGTAGTTTTTCCCAAACTTGTCCCAGCTATTGTAAATGACTTCCAAGACAACACTACCATTAGTCATGCCATCTAAAGCTCATGGGAGACAGTTTAATAAATTTAGAGGGAACCAGAGAGATCATAGGAGGGAACAACCTGCTAAGCAGTTCATACAAAGACAGTAGAGCCATGTGAAAAATTGGAGTGCTGAATTCTGAACTTCTTTAAATAAATCTGAACTTAAATTTACATTTTTTGAACAAAATCACATAAAATATAATTTTGGACATACAAGGATGGGATTAATCAATGGCTCCAGAGCTTGATCAGAAGTCTGTCTTGTAGATTAGCTGTGTTTGGGCTGGCTGATTCAACAGAAGTCAAACATCCATGGGACAAAGAGGCAGACAGCCTCAAAGGAAAAGAAATTATATCCAAATTAGGCTTTGATTTGCACAGAGGTAAGGGTGTTTAACAATTGAACAGTATTTATGCCGGAGTTTTAAATTAACTAATATGTAGGGTCCTTTGTGAAGTGTTTGAAAAAGAATGAAATCTTTTCTCCTTCTCTTAGAAATCAGGAATCTATTTGCGTTTTTCCAGAATTCTGGCATTTTGCTCAAAAGACAGTTCCTACTAACTAAAATTAAAATCATTATTTTTGCTTCTTATTATCAACCTTTTAATAACAAAGACATAGCACACAAAGAACTAAAGTGATGCTAATGAGCTCTTATTTAAATATTATACCTGGGCGGCCTCCAGGGGAAAGAAATCCTTACATTGTTACTAAGTAATCATTTTAACCAATTTAACTCTTATTAGCAGATTACAAAAACCAAATCAACTTTATAGGCAATATTCTCAGTACAAAATGGGAGGCAGTTATCAAAATTTGGCTTTGTGTGTCCAAACTCATTTATTATTTTTTATGTTTTGGACTCTTACATTTATGATCTAAATCTTAAATATATCTAACAGCAAATGCCAACACACACAAATACTGATTGGACTTAATACGTTTGATGTAAATGCTAGCCACGCCCCCAGTGTGTTCTGATCCTTCCAAGGGAAGCTGACAATAGCTCTTTACAGTGTGTCATGGCTATGTCACAAATAAGTACAGTAGCGCCATCTAGTGATCAGCCTTTCTGAATTTCATACAATATTCAAAATACATCATTATTTCTATCCCACCCTTCTTACGTATACATCACTTTATGGTTTATGCTCTAAGATACAAACCAAAAGTATTGGGTGGAAGTGTTTGGGGAACATTTACGTAAATCCCCCATTAGAACTGCATCCAATTTTATATGATGCTCGGTGAAAGAGCATTTTTCTGCCGTTCAATGGTAAGGGTGCATATTTTGCATGCAAATTAGCTTAGCGTCAGTCTCTAAAGGGAATTACCAGTTAGAATAGGGAATATTGAGCACGATGAGCACAATGGTTTGGTATAAAGCACATTCCTTTATATTCACAAACATTTATGGCACAGTCTTCAACTGTATACATTTTGGCATATCCAAAAAACCATTACATTTCTTTGGAGTTTCTGTAGCTCATCTCCCTACAAAAGTGGTCCTTAATATTTGTGTTTCTTAAACATATATTTTTAAAAGCTGGCACATTATGATGGTCAACACATTTTTGTTTCATTTCAGGTAATAGGTAAAAAGGTAAAAACGGGTTTAAAAGTATAGGTAAGTATAGATAAAGCATAGGTAAGTTCAGGTAACTTTCAAAATATTAAAGCTGTTGATAATTTATTTGAAAAATAAGACACAGTGCTAGGATTGAAATAAAACTTCCAGAAAATGTCCAACAATGAGAGAGACATGGAAGCAAAGTAAGCTCACTTGCCCATTTTATTACACATAAAATAGGAACGATGAATACTTAAAATTCTGCAGCTGGAATAACTTTAGAACCTGATTCCAGCTACAATATTTTCTTAAGATCTTGTTTCCTAACACCGAAAACAATTTATTTATTTTTAAATGAAGGATCACGGAAAACTATGACACATATATATCTTTTAGGTTTCTTACCAATATTAAGCTTGATTTCTCAATATTAAGATTACCTAAAGGAAACTCTGCCTGTAGAGACAAAGGCAGAACAGAACCTCTCAAAACAGAGTATGAGCCTTTTGTTCCAGAAAGTTCCAGGTTATGGCATCAGCTCCTTTTCTGCTGTTATCACAAAAGTTTCTTGATTAGAGGCCAAAGTCCCACCTATAATTCCCTAACAAAAAGAGGTACCTGTGCAGACAAGATTAAAATGACTTGCAGGGATAGCCAGAGACAAGGGAAACCTTCCAAATGTTTGACTAATATCTTTGCTGAATAACTGGTTTTGAAGACTTTCACATTTCAGCAAAGGCACATGTGAATAGACAGGAGGGAGGAATAAGGCAATTCATTAGGTTTGCTCTGCCAAATTAATAGCCTGATTAAGGAGGGCTAAATCCTAGAATGTAATAAAATGGGGGGGGGAGGTTGTATGGGCTTTGTACCACTAGAGGGCAACACAGAAACAAGCTACAATTGCCAAGTAGTTTTTACAGAGGTGAAAACTATGCCAAGAGAAGCACTTCAATATCCCATAATGCTCTGCAGCAAAAGCAGAGTTAGAGTAATAAACAGGAATAGAACTTCTGTCCCCTCTCAGCAGTTCATCTGACCTCCTTAAAAGCATGACTTCTTTTAATTAGATAAAATCTTTTAATTAGATAAACTCAATGCCCTCATATTTGACGGAACCAATGCGAGTTTCAGGTAACAGGCAACGTCCATCCAGTGTGAAGGCAGTAATATAGGTTGCCACATGTCCAGCATCCTCTTCAGATTTTAATGCCACAATTATCTGATCATCAGTGTCAGGGACAAACTTGAAGGAGGAGAAGCCATGGGTGGGAATGACATCACCAATACGGCTCACAGAGATATCAGTGAAGTCTGGTGTGGAACTAAGAAGCAAGTTGGTGCCACGATGCTCATCCTCCTGCTCATTGTAGCGTCCATGGCTGGCACGGCGTGGTAGAAAGAACCAACGCTGCAGTCTCTCACTCCAAGAGGCAGACTCATGGATCAAGTAACCTGGGAAGCATATAGAACCAAGATAGATTTCCTCAAGCATAACCAGAATGACTTACAGGATAACAGAATTGGAAGGGATCTTGGGTGGAGTCCATTAAATGGCTAGTACAAATATGTGTTGTTGCCGGGGTTGGTGGGTGGGTTATTATTTTATTATTCTTTTTATTTCTTATATGTGTTTTTTATTTCATTGTAAGCTGCCTTGAGTAGCCATTTTCTAAATAAATAAATAAATAAATAGGTTTTCTAGTGCAACTCCCTGCTCAAGCTGACAAAGTTCCAAAGGAAGAACCATAATATGACAAGATTAAACAATGATGGTAGAAACTTTATAGGTATTGATCTGGGTAAATCACCAAGAATATACATTATACACTGCCTTCTCTAAGGACACTCATACTTTTCATCCTCAAAATCCAAATCCTCTTCAACTTTTTAATTCCAACAATTCAGTGTGTATAAGCCTTCATTTTACAAGAAAGGAAGTATTAGAAGCAGAATTTGCATAATATTTAGCTATTGGCAGGTTTATTATGTTGTTAACAGAAGCCAAGAGCCCATTGCTCACCTGGAGATTTGATCCCAGCTGCAGTCCGGAGTGCATTGTAATTGATGACCCAGTTCTCATGAGCCACGTCACCTTTGTAACCGATGACTTTCACCCATTCTGGATTTTGATTGAGCACCTCTCCTGTAGTTGTGGTCCAATCCTTGCCCAAGCCTCCCACATAGAGGTGCTCATCCTTCACTGCCAACCATTCTGCCTTAAATCCTGAACAAAATGTGAGACAATGTAAGTAAGGCAACACTTATCCAAACCAAACTACCCTCGCAAGATAGGTGCCACAGTTTCCCCAGTAGGTTGAAAAGGGCTTTTCCGATCTTTAAGACAAATATTAAAATTTCTCAGGATTTGTTCAAAGCATGAGTAAAATACAGATTGACCAAATGTATGGAGTTTCTCAAACATCCAGGTCATGATTGTCCCAAAGATACTTTTCCAAATGGCAAGTAGACTTTCTTGGGTTTTTTTGTTTTTTGTTTTTGTTTGAAAAATGTTTCGCTTCTGAATCCTTCCATTCCCCATCAATCAGTTAAAACTGAAGAAGCTTCTTGGATGAGAAGTGAAACATTTTCAAACAAAAAACCCAAGAAGGTCCAATTGACTTTTGGAAAAAGCACCTTTGAGAAAATTTGGTCAAATTACTGTAAGAATTATTTTCTTTAACATAAACCAGGTTTTACAATGTTTTTCCTGAAAATGGACAATTGCTTCTGGTTTTCAGCAAATCCAGCCCATAGCAAATCATGGGTTCAGTTAACAACTGTGGCATTCACTTAATGACCCCTGTAAAAAAGGTTGGTCACATGACCAATCCAATTTACAACCATCATGACTTACAACCATAATAGGCGGACTCCATTACAGTTGTAACTCAAGGACTAACTGTAAAGAGGTCCTAAGACTAAAATGTTTGAGAACTGCCCATTTACATTATTATATTCTGCAGATAAAAATGTCTTACTGTCATGATTTTATATGGGTTATGATCTTGACATAGGTCATAATTTATAAAACATATCTACAGCAGCTCAATACATTCCTTCAATGTTTTACAACATACATCATTTTTATCAGTTTTTTTAAAACCTCATAATACTGGAAAACTATTCCATCTTTTTCTTTTTGCAGTTTTAATGGTATTTCTATAAACTGCCCTGAATCATTAAAGGTGTGAGAAACAAGACATGCTAAATAATTTAGTATAAAATGCTATAGTACTCTTCCATTGAGGTGTGCATGCATGTATATAAAATGGAAACAGAAGTTCGCACTGACCATTATTTATCCAACTGGATAATGGAAAAAGCATTATAGCTACATGAACAGCGCTATAACATTCTTTTAATATAAATATTTCAATATTACTTTAATGTATTAAAAACACAACAAAAAATTCCAAATCAAAAGCATTTCAAATGTTATATTCTCCCTTTTTTCTTTCTTTTATAGTATATTTCATTTTTTAAATTTTTTGAAGATGGGGTGTGTGATTTTAGACCAAAAGGCAGAACAATTTTAAGATAAATATTTCTTTTACCTCGAAAGAAGTTTCACCTCTACTAGACAGTGTAACAGAATGTTAGTAAATTGGGTAAACTTCAAAAAAGGAAACATGATATTTAGAGAATTCTTAAAGATTTCTGGTGGCCATAGCTTTACTTATGACATTAAGAAAGTGAGGAACTACATAAAGGTTAGGGAGCTTTCCAGTACAAAACCTTGAATTTAAACCTGAGCTCACCTTTGTCAATTGTGCCATCTCCATCAGATAATATCACCCAAGGTACTACCCTGGTGTCATCAATCTGGTAGACCACACCCGTTCGATCATCCACGGCATAGAGTTTACCATTAAAGACTACCAATTCAGAAAGCTCCATGCCACGTCCTTTTTCCGCTAGGTGAGATTCCAATATATGGTCCTTTGTATCCCACTCAACAGAGACATGGTCCCCACTGGCTGACAATGTGAGATAACCCTTCTTCAAGTAGCTGAACCAGGTATGCTCACTGGGACCCTTGGAGTTTGTGTCAAGATCAGCAATGAGTCCAATACGGTACCGCACACCTTCTGGGATTCGCTGAGGTGGTGACAGTGGGTAAGTGTCATTATACCTCTCACTGGATAGAACATTAAGCCTCCAGTTATGAGCATTGAGAGGGACTGGCCTGTTTGCAGGGGATGAACGCTGGAAACAAAGGAGAAGCAACACCAGGACAAGGGCCAGAGTGGTCACCACAATGGCCTTCCAACGCAGGCGGAAACGGGGGTCAGCTGTTTTGGTCATGGACGCCAGCACTGGAAGACTGCCCACACTAATCCTCAAGGGATTCAGAGTATCATCCCATTGCAAGCGTGGACGAGCTGAGATGGGCATCAGCCTGAGGTTCCTGGGAACCTTGGAAAGAAAAGACAAGGTCAGAATGAAAGGATGGGGATAATGAACACACCAATTGAGTACTGTGGTTAATTGCCTATGTCTATAGGAGAATGACAAGGAAAAAACAAGAAACAGAAAGAGCTGCAATAGCTTGACAGAATGTCAGACAACTGAGAAATTCTGCAGTAGAACAGGAAACAAGGCTGTGGTCCTTCCAAGAAATACGTTACTTGGATACCTGGTGGAGATGGAGGAAATTGCATATGAGAAACTGACACATAGAAAGCAGAACTGCCAAATGATTAAGGCATTTTTGGTGGTTAGTGATACACCAAGTGTAGCCCATCTGCCGGCCCCCACCTTTCGGCCTCCGTGTGTCGCGTTTTAGACCTGTTCCAGGCTGCAGGGATTGCCACAGATCCCCTCCTATGTTCCTTGCATATTTGGCCTCTGCATCATGTGTTTTCAGCCTCCGAATGCTCCATTTCAGACCCATTGAAGGATGCAGGGATCACCACAGCACATTGCCGCCGATCGCTGCCTCCATGTATCACGATTTGGCCTCCACATGACCCATTTGTGGCTCTGTGCATTGCATTTTTTGGGCAGCAATCGGTGGAGATGTGCTTTGCCGACCCCTGCAGCCCTGAATGGGTCTGAAACAGACAATTTGGAGGCTTAAAATGAGAGGTGCAGAGGCCAAAAAGGCACCCCGGAACTGCTGCTGCCCTGTCAGACCAGTTCCGCGCTGCACCTGTTCTACTCACCAGAGCAACCTGCAAAGTTCAGCTGCATTTTTGATGCTGTGTTTGCGCCCCAACCCATGCACTCAGAACCAGCGAATCTGTTGCTAAAGTTCACCTCTAGGAACAGCTGATTGGGGGTATTCCAGGAGGCTGATCAACCCGCCAATCAGCTGCTTGTGCTGAAGCTGACCAGGCTGTTTGCTACAGATGCTAGCCAGATGAATACTAATGGATGCTGGTAGGCAAAGGCCTTTTTCTTATTTTCCTCCCAAAAAACTAATGTGCCTTTTATACTCCGAAAAATATAGTAAAACTGTATTAAATGTGTCTTGTTAAAATAACATAGCTTACAATCTATCATTTTGCCTTTCTTCCAAGGAGTTCAGGATAGTATTAATACCACCTCCCATTTTATTAGCAAAAAACACCTTCATCAAGTAAAGGTTCCTCTCACACATATGTGCTAGTCATTCCCGACTCTAGGAGGCAGTGCTCAACTCCGTTTCAAAACCAAAGAGCCAATCGTTGCTCAAGGACATCTCCGTGGACATGTGGCCAGCATGACTAAAGCCGAAGGCGTACAGAACACTGTTACCTTCCCACCAAAGGCGGTCCCTATTTTTCTACTTGCATTTTTACATGCTTTAGAACTGCTAGGTTGGCAGAAGCTGTGACAAGTAATGGGAGCTCACTCCGTTATGTGGCACTAGGGATTTGAACCGCCGAACTGCCAACCTTTCTGATTGACAAGCTCAGCGTATTAGCCACTCAGCCACTGTGTCTCTCTATGAGCTAGGTCAGGATAAAAGACATGACAATCAAGGCCACTCATTAAGCTCTATTCAAGTTAAGTCTAAATCCTTTGCCACAGAGGCTGTTCATATACAAAACTATCCTACGCTGCTTGAAGATAATGATATCTTTAAAGCTAAGCATAAGACCAAATTAGCAAACCGCAGTATACTTACAAAGTGATCCCAACTCACAGAATTTGTTCTCAACAATTAAAATAAATTCATAATAATCAGTTAAACCGTTGCTGCTAAACTAATTAAAAGTGGAATTTCAACCCTGAACAAAACAATGCTAGAAGGTGGCAAATGGGAACATAAAGGTAGTGTGCTAAAGTTATGTAAAACACATCCCTTCACTTCCAGCAATTGTTTCAACCCAATTTCCCTCTTCTTACTAATGAGGAAGTTCCATGGCTATGACCAGCAGTCACCACCAAAGTTTCTACATGCTCTTTCAGAAAGCACTAGATCTAATGCTTCACCTACTACTAGGAAATACCCCCTACTCTTTTCATTATACCAAATAGAAATTAATACCCCTTACAGACCTGTTTGATCGCTCCAGAATCATATCTTGCTGGAACCTCAGGGGAGAAACTTCACTAACAGAATGCAACAGGTGGCAAAGCTCAACTCCTCCTCCAGAAGGATTGAGGAAATACAATCAGGAAATGTCAACAGGTCAAAAAGATTGCAGACTGGTCCAACCAGTTCCACTGAAAGACCCAAAGGGCATTTTCTTTTCTGCTCAAGTTACGGTGCTATGTCTCATATATTGCAAACTCCACCCTCTCAGAACTTATATAACAGTTCTCCCCATATTACTCTACATTACTACCGGTAGATTTATCATACATCCGGGACTAGATAAAACAGCACTGCAATGAAATAGTAAGGGGGAAGGGAACTTTTTTTGTATGGTAAACATCTAAGGTGCACATGGAGACTGAAAATCAGATGTTAAATTTCCATCAATTCCACAGCCAATTTACCCATAAGAATCTCTTTGCTGGAAGTATATGAAGAGCTGAAAACATTTTTCCATTGACAACTCTCAATTGATCCATTGACAGTACTGCATCAGAAGTCTTCCTGAATGAGACATTCTGGGAAATAAAAATATTTGATGAGGGATAAATTGCTGGGGCAAGATTTGCAGGGGCACGACTGGCATTTTTGTGCCCAGGCAAGTATCCTATCAAGAGAAGTAATTGCTTCAGCATTTTACAAAATGCCTAGAGAAACTCCACAGCATTCCAGAGTTTTGAATATAAGTATTTCTGGGACCCAGAGTGAAGCAAATCAATTGATGGAGGCAGGCCTGGCAGAAATGAAAAGCATGTACAGGCAGCTGTGCAAGGGCTCAAGATTGCCATTGCTACTCTGTGGGAAACTGCTCCAATTATGCATTATCTTTCTCTTCACTATCAACATGTTTTGGGCTGCAGCAGCATCCTCAGGTATTTCATTCTAGGGATGGAAAACGGGAACAAACCGAAGCTTATTTTGAAAGGGCTGCTGCTGTCTTCATCAATTCCTTGCTTGGGGCAAGGGAGCCAATGGAAGGCAAGTCAGGAAAGGGGCACAAGGATGGACAAGAGTGATCAGTATCTGCATCACCAGGTCCCAATGGCTTTGACCTAAATCACAGAGGTCTGCTGTCATGCTATTTGTCCCCCCCTCTCGCCCCCTCTGAAAGCTGACACTAGGCTTGCAGGTTGAGACAATAAAATCATCTCATATACAGCAAAAGCAATACTATACATAGGCTGGAACAACATCTGAGGATGGAGACAAAAGCAATATGATTAACTGAAAAAATGCTTTACCTAAACCCAGATAAAATGAATAGTTTGGGGGCGGGGGAAAGGGGGCAAACTGAAGCCAATCACATAAGAAGGTGGGAAATGCATTTTCCTCTCAATCTCACCAGTTCTTCCTGAAAATCTAAATATCTGGCAAAAGCAGCAAAAACCAAAAACCCCTACATCTCCCCTTTGCTAACCACTCACCGACCAGGCTCCTCCCCACACCGGGAACAACCGGAGGAGGGAAGATCTTTCTGCAGCAAACCCTCCCTCCAAAATGACTGCAGATCCCAACATGCACTACACCCAGGAGTTCACTACGGATCCCGACACCCCCTAGTTTAATCAAGAGAATATATTTCACTTCCTGTTCACAAAGACTACATTTCCCACAATTCATTACACACGGAATAAACGAGGCTGAAGGCAGAGTTGAAACAGAAGTACAGTATGCCCTAAGTCTTGGTTCAGTAATAATGTATTACTCCTCCAGATAGGTGTCATCTAAACACAGGAAATGGACACACGGAGATAGTAACATCACAAACAAAATATGAAAGAAATAATACAAATTCAACCACACGTATTGTTATGTGTGGCTGCTATGCCTATTCCATCTGCAAAAAATATCAGTGAACATGGTGGATAGCTAGGTAAGCAGAGAATAAGCACCAATCAGTCTTGAACAATTAACCAGCTTTCCTAACCACTATCATGAGGCCCATTTCTGTCAAATTATTTGGCACATCTGTGCCAGACACCTGGATCACAGCTATAGCTATGTCAAATGCTGCAGGGGCAACAAGCATAATGCTTTCTTGCAAAGAAATGCAGCCAGAATATAGTAATTGCTTGTTCCGGGTTTTTCTCCCGTTCGCTCGGGGGCGGGGGGGGGGGGCTAAAACGCTGCTGAAAATATCCTATGAACGATTTTCAGTCAGAAGAAAAACAACAAGATATATTATTACTGGAAAGATTTGATTATAGTCTGCATAAAATATCTGCTCAAGGTGGCAAAGCTTCCATCCACATCTCCAATTAAGCGGAGTAGTGAGATTCGCCCGTACATCAAAATCTGGAAGACTTTTAGGTCTCCAGCACTTGCACCAAATGAGGGCGATTATTGCAGAAATATTTCCTGCTATATGTGAACCTCGGGAGGCGATTTCTTTCCCAATATGAAAATTTTGGGGGAAAAATTCATCCCATTCCCAATACCCCTATGCATATATACCCACATACGCCCTCCCCCCGCAGTTCACCTTCCGCGCGTTGCTAGACTTACAGAGGGGCCTGGTAGCAGAGAACGGTACTAGAGCTTTTGCTGCAGAGGGCCCAGAAATCCTGGCGTTTGCCAAAAAAAAAACAAAAAAAAAAACCACAAAACCCAGATATACTTTATTTTTGCCTCCGCAGTTTTGAACAGCGCGCAAAAGGAAGCCCCGCGAGGGTCCTCGTTGAGCGAATTCAAGGAGCTTTCGAGTCTCGGACATTTCCCTACATCCTAGTAGTCGTTGGAGAGGATCATCTGCCCGTCGACGAGGCTGGTGTGAGGTTCAAGAACGCTCGGACGGGGTTGAGAACTCCCGGAGCTTTCATGGCAGTTCCAAACCAGGAGTTCGGAGCCATTTCCCGGGGCGGCTTTAGATGGATGAGGTCATAAATGTTGTATTCCTTCCCAGGCTCTGCAGGAAACAAACGCCGCCCGCTGACTCCCTGCTTTCCCTCTCCTTCGCCCTAAGGCTTCTGAGGCTACTGGGGTGGGGGTGGGGGTGAGGGGTGGGGTTCGCCACCATTTTTAAACGGCCCTCTCGCCCGCCATCTTAAGCTACCCAAAATACCACGCTCGAAATCGGGTAGAGCATTTCGGGTAATTTAAGATGGTGGGTGCTCTATGTCGGGCCGAGACAACCTTGGTAGGTCGTCGTCTTCCTCTACAAATCTCGTTGAAGCGCTCCTCGGGACTCTCAGCAGTTGCTGGTCTAACTTCACTGTCTGCTGGAAAGCGAAATTAGAGGAGAGGATGCCGATCTCCCTCGGCGCCCCGTGTCTTTTTAACTCACGGATTTTACTGAAAAATCATGTACCAGCCCTGGAGTTTCAAAACTTGTGGAAAGAAAAATGGTGTTAATAAGGGACCAAGAAAGCCCACCTATAGCCCACCGCGCTATAAAGCTGTATTTAGCCTCTGGTATCAAAATCGTTTTGAGAAACAAATGGTGTATGGTCTGCTTTTGGGGGTAGGGGTTGGACTAGATGACCTACAAGATCCCTTCCAACTCTGTTATTCTATTAATTGGGTCAGCATAAAATAGCCACCACGCGTAGTAATTTGCGTCAAAATAGCGCACATATATTCCTAAAGGAGGCCAGACATTAAACATTGAAAATGTATCTCCTGTCCACATTGCTGGCTGTTATTAAGGCTGTATCTGTTGATACGGTAGTCCCAAATGTACTTTTACATGAGGCAACTGGCCTTTCTTGGGCTTTTTTTTTCTTTTGAAGATGTTTCACTCTCATCCAAGAAGCTGCTTCAGAGCTAAAGAAGCTTCTTAGATGAAAAGTTAAACATTTTCAAAAGAAAAAAACAAAACCAGAAAGTCCAGTTGCCTCCTGAAAAAACACCTTTGGGACAACCATGACCTGAGTGACTTGAGAATCTCTACAGACTTAATATGGTAGTGTTCTTATTCTTAGGTTGGCAAAAAACAAACTATTAAGTACTGGCCTGACATTTCTTGATTCCCATTGCTATTCCTAGTTGCATCTGTTCCCAGCCAGTATCTCAACCCCCTAATTAATTATATATATTTCAAGAATATCCTTGATGTCAGAAGCTACAGTACTGTTTTAATAGCTAAGTATGGTTTAAACTTGTCTCAAGCATGAACAATGAAATGAAGACAGTGTTGTGGAGATTTAGCAGAAAAAAATACGTTGCAAGGTTGTTTTTGTCAGTAAGTGCAAGTGGGGAAATGCCTTAAGGGCTCCAAGTGGCAATAAACCTTAATGTACATTTTTTTGCTAATATTACTCGGATTTCCTCGAAGGTGAACCTTACAGTATTAAATTTTTAGTAACTGCTCTGAAAAGATGTTTTTTGTGATGTTTGTTATGCCTTGCAGAAGTAAGGTTATCTGATGAAATGTGTAGAACTCATTTCAAAAGAACAATTCCATACAAAAAAAACCCACAGTCTAGGTAATTAGAGGTGACAGATCTACCTGTCATCAAAACTAATGAATCCACTTTATTTGGTTTCAAGTTTCAAGATTAAAGGTAATAAATCCATTTTGTTTGGATTCAAGATTATTTGCAGGCAACATTAAGCTGGCAGGAATAATACCTCAGATGATACATTCAAGATCCAGATGGATCTTGTTCAAGAGAGGTAACTATGAGAGGGATCTTGGAGCTCTAGTGGACAATCACTTAAACATAAGCTAGTAGTGTGCGGCAGCAGCCAAAAAAAAAAGCCAATTCAATCTTACATAAACGGGGATAGAATCAAGATTGCAAGAAGTATTAGTATTGCTTTGTAAAACCTTAGTAAGACCACACTTGGAATACTGCATCCAGTTTTGGTCACCACATTATAAAAAAATATGTTGAGACTGGAAAACTGTAGAGAAGAGCAACAAAGATGATTAGGGGCCTGGAGACTAAAACATGAGCAGTTGCAAGGATTGGTTATGGCTAGTCTAGTGAAAAGAAGGGCTAGGGGGTGGCATGAGACCAGTGTTCCAATATGTGAGAGGCTGCCACAAAGAAGTGGGGGTCAAATTATTTTCCAAAGCACCAGAAGGCAAGACAAGAACCAACGAATGGAAACTAATGAAGGAGAGAATCAACCTGGAATTAAGAAGAAACTTTCTAACAGAACAATTAACCAGTGGAACAGCTTCCTTCAAAAGTGGTGGGTGCTCCATCACTGGAGGTTTTAAAGAAGAGACTGGACAGAGACTGGACAACCATTTGTCTGAAATGGTATAAGGTCTCCTTGAGCAAGGAGTTGGACTAGAAGACCTCTGGCGCCGTCCAACTCTTATTCTGTTAACTACTAAAAAGTCATTTGTTTTATTCAAAATAATTTATTTTGGCTTAATTGTTTTTCATTTAATCTTTGCTCATATAGTTTTTTTAAATTTAATAATGAGATTTGCCTAATGCCTAAAATGAAAAGGATTCTAAAGGCAATATGCAGAGTTTACTTATAAAATGCAGTAAAGTCAGTATAATTAAAGCAGTAGTCTAATTAAATCTCATTTTAAATTAACACTAAAAGTAAAAAGCTAAAATGTATTGAATTTGGCACTGCTGCATATAATTAATTCCCTAAAGCCTGCCAGAACAGCCAGGTGTTCACCTGCTTCTGGAAGGCTAAAGGGCCATCCTTTACCTCAGGGCAAGCTATTCTGAAGGAAGCTGCTATAACAATTGCCTGCAACTGTGCCCCCATGCCCGATTGATGGGGACTCTTAGCAGTTGTTCTCTTAACTGTTCAGGTATAGAGAGCAGACACTAATGATAAGGTATCCTATTATAGATTTGTCTGGTGTACCAGACAAAACTGCAAAAGCATTCTAGGTGCAATTGCCCTCTGTTCTAACTTGCAGTCCAGAAGGATACTTGTGATTGACAGTATTGAGGGCCATTGAGAGGTCTAGGAGAAACATGATGGTTGAACCACTCACATCTAAGACCTTTTACTGGTCACCCGTGAAAGTTACCAATGCAGTTTCCATCTGATATCCAGGCCTGAACCCAGACTGCTAAGTGACCAGAGCATATCTATCCTCCAGAACTCTGCACATATAGCTTCATCACTTAACTTTCCTTCAAAAAGGAAGACTTAGAGATAGGATAGTAGTTGCCCCATTTTATTGGATGCAGCAGATCACTTGAGGAGGTTTTTTAATGGCATCTCATTATCCCTCAAAAAGGCATTGATTAAAGCCCAATTTGGCTTATAATTCTCTTCTGGTCACCTTTATTAGCCTGGTGGAGCAAGGGTCCAATCCACAAGTGACAGAGCCATGATGACAGAGGACTTATGTGGGATCTGCAGCTCAAAAAAACCCCTGATAAGCCCAGAAGGCATCAACTTGACCATCTTAATAGACTATGTCCATTTGGCGTGAATGGGATTTATTTATGAAAAACTGAGGCCGATATTCCAAAAGCAACCAGAACAATGCCCAGAATAACATACATTTTTAGTATAAACTGTTGCTCTATACCTCGAACTGCCTTCCCCCATTGACCATCAGGTTCTGCCATCTGCTGTTACTTCTGAGACACTAATAGAAAAGGTAAAGACTCCTTTCACTTAAACATGTCTCCTAATATCTTCGTGAACACACCCATAGAGCTTTCTTGGCAATAGTACAAAAGCAGTTTTCTGTTTATTTCAGTTTTTTTTTGAGATGTTTCTACCCCAAGGGATTGGGATTTCCTGGCAGTCTTCCATTCTACTACTCACTAGGCCCAGCCTTCTTTTTTGAAGATCAGTCAACTTTGACTAAGTTCTGCCACCTGCTGTGAGATTGAAGAATGACTGTTGCGTGTTTTTTTTTTAACGATGTACTGTTTTATGTGTGTATTTTTGTCTTGTACTCCCATCCCCCTTGGATTGTGAGCCGCCCTGAGTCCCCCCAGGGAAAAGGGCGGCATATAAATAAAGTAATCCTAATCCTAATCCTAATCCTCATATGGTGTTGTATTCTCAGGTGGGCATTACGTTTATGAACATTAACAAACAGTGAATAGTGTAAATTTTTGAGCTCCCCAGAACTTCATCATGCCAAGTATTAAGAAGGATACAGTCATTGTTTGGAGTTCAGGGGTATCAAACTAGCGACTCGCGGGCTGGATGTGTCATGCGCAGGCCACGCTCACCTGAGTACTGCGAAGGGGTAAAATGTTGCAAAATGTCATGTGATGGCAACATGATGTGACGAGTTTGATAACCATGGTTTAAACTGTTATGATTATTTTGTCCTTGTGGAAAGGAAATAGTAATCCTTTAGTTTCCCCCCTGTCTGCTTCAAGAGGTACAGAGAGTTTGGCACGTGTAAGATTTCACAAAGATGATTATACTTGATGGATTATTTCAGGGTTTGAGACTACTATCAGTCTTTTAAGTTGTCTCATTTTCACTTCTGCCAATAAAAAATACATACATCCTGGCAGCATGTTGTTCTAGCATGTTTGCAAGAGATATCACGATAAGTACTGCAACATGAATAATGAAGCCCTCATTTTGCAGTTTTTGCATGGTGAATCCCCTGGAGCTAGTGACAAAGAGAGAGAAGACTGATTTTCTCCAGATCTATCCAGGTTGAGTCAAAGCATTGACTTTCTTGTAATTTACTAGATTCAGTGCACCTGCTTGAATGGGAGATATGGAGGGTGAACATTGGAGAGTAAGCAGACAGCAGTTATTAGCATCCTTCCTGAAAATATACTTTAGTAGGTAGATTGGAATAAAACTCAGAGTTTAAGATAAAAGAATCAGTGATATGATTCAGTGTAAATCAGTTATATAAGTAGCTATTCTTCAAAGAGCAGCTGTCCCTTGTCAAGCATTCTGTTCGTTCTAATGGAGAAATTCCATTTCCCGCCTTCCTCTTTTGGTTTGTTTATTTCAATTTCTGGCACATCCCTTCTCCAATATAT